GAGGATGGCTACCTTGTTAAACCACGGAAGAAGGGTGACGTAAGTTTCTGCAAGAACTGGCGTGGAATAATGCTCTTGTCCACGCCAAGTAAAATACTAAGCCGCATCATCCTGAAGAGAATAAAGGGTGCACTGTACAGAGAACTCCGCCACACACTGGAACAAGCTGGATTCAGGAAGGGCAAATCATATGTTGATCAAATCGCAACTCTGCGAATTTTCATCACCGAACAAAGCACAGAATGGCAGTCAAACCTCTATCTCAACTTAAATGGCTTCGAAAAGGCCTTCAACAGTGCAACGTTGATCGAGAAGTAATTTGGAAACTACTTCAACACTACGGCGTGCAGTGCTCAGATCTTTGTCAACCTCATTCGACAGCTAGATATATCACAACGCCACGTGTCAAGTGATCCACAACGGAAACTCAGTGAGGAGTTCGAAGTGGATGTAGGAGTAAGACAAGCTGACTGTATATTACCACCGATGATATTCTTAATTGTGGTGGATTGGATTAAGCGTCAGACTGTTGGGGGTGGGGGAGGAGTCAGGAATACTCTGAACCACAGAAAAGAAGACTCTAGAAGATCTGGATTTCATGTATGGATGACTTATTTCTAATGTCACACAAACTCGAAGACTTACAGGCGAAAAGCAATAGGCTGGAAGAAGAGGCAGTCATCTAAGACAGAACTCCAGTTTAACATGGAGAAGAAGGAGGCGGTGAAGATAACCAACCAACAGCAACAACAACCAGCACCATTCACCATCAACGAGAGAAATCTGAAAGAGGGTACTTCCTTCACTAATCTAGGGAGCATTGTTCCAACTACAGGCAGCTGCAGGTTTTTATCAACAGCTGCCCATTTCGCTAGCTCAATACTGATGATCAAATGGCCGGCTGGCCAGAAAGAATTAGTAGCAAGAAACTGTAGGAACAAATCAACCAAGAGCCGATCACTCAATTAATATTTAGGAGAAAGTAGAGATGGATTGGGCATGCATAGAGAAGAACGCCGAATAACATTGCACGCAATGCAGACCATTGCTCGAGTGGAATCCCAACAGGAAGCAACAAGTGGGTCGTCAGCTCGAAGGTGAAATGCAGAAAATCACGTGAAGAAGAGATGAGAGAGTTTGGTCAATCGTAGGCTTAGCTGAAGAGGACAACAGAAAATAAAAGAAAGTGGAGATGTGTTGCTGAAGCCTTATGTTCCAAATGGAACGCAAGGGAATAATGATAATATAGAAATAATAATGTTTTGAAAACCTGCAACTGAAACTGTTAGACTTCTGTGCAAAATTCTGCAATTATCTGCTAGTCTAACTGCCGAATTTACTCAAGGAGATTTTGAACATGATTTGATTTAGCCATGTATCACAGCTAGCGTAATAACGGCTGGATTTCTTACGTACACTTTAAATTACCGCCTATTCATTGACCAAAATCTCAGTTTTTGTCTTGAAAAGGACAGTCATCATTGTTTAAATATTTCAATTAATTAGTTTCCATAGTTATGGCTGAGTATTTTGTCAAACTTTTAATTTAAAAAGTAGAAATATACAAGGATGTACATACATTTATCAATTGCATTTAAGTATATATTCATGATCTGATGTTGAAATAGAAAAATACGTCACACCATATTGCAGAAGAAATTTTGCGTAGATATTTAAAAATCAGACCACAGTCTACTCACAATCTAAGAGTACATCTCAAAGATGATGCGACATTGTTAAAAATAGTACACACACCAAAATTATTGAAAAATGAAACGGTAGATGTTATTGGCTTTTATAATGTTTCGGCAGAATTTTAGAAATAAAGCTACACACTACTGATTGATTGGGATGAATAGTTGCATACCAATCATGTCAACCAGAAGTGCTCGCTAGACAGGCAGATTGAAATGATACAAACACCAGAGAGCCATTTCGTGCATTTGAGACTCAGCCCATCAGGACTGTCTCCAGCATGACTCAGCTCAGGGAGAAAGCCGATTCAGTTCAAACTAGAGGTTGAATGGGAAATCAAAAGTCGTATCAGAGCACTCCTGAGAATCTCTTACAGTGGCATAAATGGCTTCACTCTCGGTCGTGTGTGAAATTGAGTTTAACTGCGTATCCCTAAGGTGTAAGTGATATTGAGTGTCAAGTCCGTTACAGTCCTCCAGGGAGCTCAACAATAACGTCTTCAATGAGTGCACCTCACTTTCTGGTTCGAAAATGTATCAGGCTACTCGTTTCTTCACGGTTGTATATATACCGCCTTCATGATGAGTACCGTTAGGCATCAAACATAAGTCGACAGATTCCCCACCAGTTACCTCCACCCTTCAAAGGTCTATCTTCTCTCATATGCCTCAAAACTGCAGCACAAATTCACTCCTGTCCTCCATCATTTTCTTCCGTACTGTTTCGAAAACGCGGTAACTCTGACTATTTCATTTCTGTACAAAGTGTTACAAAAATGCACCACATACTACCACATAACAATTCTTAAGAAGTTATTAAAAAATCGGACCATAATATGAGAGCGTTATAAGAGTATTTCTCAAAAATTCATCGTCATTATCATTCATTCTAATAGTAAAAGAAATTGCAATCATTAAAGGTATTAAAGGTGAAATAACGGACATTACTGGTTTCTATAAAATTTTTGTAAAGGATTAGAAATGTTCGCAACACACAAAAAGCAAAATAAAATGAATTTAATGAGAGAAGGTTGAATGAGAAATCAAAAAACTCAGATCAGAGCACATTTCACATGAGCTCCCAAACTCCATATTGATTCGACCGCGATAAGGGCTATTGAGTAGGTCATCGTTTCTCTACAATCCCTAAAGATCAAGCCTACCTGTCTTTCAAAACTAATAGTGAGTATCTGCGGTCACACTGCCAACTTCGGCAGTCATTCTTATCTCACTCATAGTCATAATGAATCAGAGACCAGATCGGATTGTCACTGATTTGCTTTCTCACAAATGAAAGAGTGACTGCACACATTACTCAAAACATCAGTCTTTCCTGCTTACACCATGTGATTCAGGATCAGAATAAACACTGATTTCATCTAAATACTTTCTAAAATTTCACTTATATGACAACCAACCTTATAACTTGATGAAGTTAGATGTTCTCAAGTCACCTAGCGAGATGTTTCCAGCGTCGACAGGTAAAATGAAAAGAGAGCCAATCATCAGTAATTTCATGACGTAATTCTTAATTCAATTCATTTCACATAGGCGGTGTAACACACCTCCTTCAACTCACCACACTCCAAACATTTGCATTCACAAATTAATATGAATTAAACACTTGACAATCATTCTTGCAGTTAGTACAGACAGCAGACCTATCAAGAATAGAGGACATGAACACCTCTGTAGCCTTAATAGCTAATATTACATTGTTAACATTGGATCCGATTCCATGGTGGAATGTTTCAGGTTACCACATCTAACTTTTGTCAATCAAGATCATGGCAGTAAATGTATACTGTAGACAACTGCCGAAAAGAAAGAAGCGTAGACCAGGGGGGACGGGAAAGTCTTATTACATGATTTGTTCAATAGATTAGATTAGATTATTACTGCCTTCAAATGATATCACCAAGAGACATCAAGCATCCAGTTCGCATCAAAAGGTTGTCCCGAAAATCGACTTATAACTTTAACCATCTGAGACATATTGTAGTCATGTTAATTGTAGAAATCCTGACAAAATAAATCAGAAGTATGCAACACAACAGGAGAAGTTACATCGCTGCCACATTTACCTCGACTTCATGAAGTACCAACGGTTTATTTTCAACTGGATTATTCGATGTTCCAGTCAACAAATTATAAGACCTATTCAACACATACTCAATAATGAAGAAGTAGTAACATCTCTGTCGTTTTCTTGTCATTTCTAATCACTTTATTCCACATTCGACATAATAAATCATCATATTAAAGGAGGTGTCCAAGGGGTGTCTGTAGGAATGATCACAATAATGCAGTTCAATTTTCCACGTATTTCATTAACGCGGATTTATTACTGAAAAATAAGATTTCGAAATTACTATTTGTTAGTCATCTTAATCACGAAATTGTTACACATTGTGGTACACAGATTTTCAGATGGATCACAAAGGACTTCCATACATGGATCACATATTCTAGTCACAAGTTAAACGACATATATATCTCTAGAGAGACAAATGGAGAAAAGAAGCTTTCATATTCTCTCTCAGCCCATGGTACTTCTACAAGACACTGGATAGGCCAAGATGTTTCAAATCGCTCCTTTCCTTCTACAAGTTAAAAAACAGCATTCCCCCTAATTCTGCCTAAGCCTATAAGAACATACTGGTATCTTATCACATCCAAAGGAAATTGAATGCGAAAAATGACTGTGAAGGACTAGGCCTGTTAACTCTTCACAAAGTACAGGGTCAGACAATAAAATATGAGCTACGCAATGAGGAAATCTACATCGTCATGAAATTCTACCCGCTAACCACGTTGAAACACGGTCTTAACAAGCTATGTAGTATATCAGTAAAACAATTAGGTAACTAACACCAATGAACACAACACACAAAATATGCCAGTGAAACTTTGGCATTTCGATCAAACATGCAGCGAGTTACACAGGTTACTTCAGTCATTGTAAATTTTATGCAAGAGGGAAGAGAAACCGATTTGAAACAGTAGATCTACTGGACTAACAGACTTAATCTTATTTTTCCAAATTCATCAGTTTACTCGCATATTAGCCTACAAAACTTGGTACAAAATTTACGGATCCGATTCTAACTACATGAACACAGAAATGCTTTCCTGAATGACAGATAACACCTTGTCGTTAATAGCAGTAGAGACTCTTTGCCTGCCTCATATACGTTTTCAACAATAACAAGAAACTGTGTGAATTCCCACTGTATCTCTACTCGCACGACAGCAAACAACAGACAATCTACGACCACCAGCGCTAAACAGGAACACAAAACTTTCAGGGAATAAATTTATTCTCGAATAATATATCAAATAATAAAGTGAAATCAATATATCAAATACAAATGGACAAGTGAATAGATAAGTAAATACAATAGGTCAGCTGTTCTCAAGAGAGAAAATTGGAAAAGCTTTGTAATGGCCAATATTTATACGCATATAGTGTGAGCAGTTGAAAATTGTTCATTGGAATGTTGCACTGCACTGACAGTTGATCACATCTCATCGATAAACAACTCACCAATTACATCACAACATTATTCAATATAGTAGTGACTGATGTGATACGTGTTCAACTGCTGCTGCCTGATTAATGGTGGTTCATCGGCGGTACAACCGACACAGGCACATGTGAATGATGCAGGATATATGAACTAACACTACCCATGAAATTACGTCGCCAAAATCCAAATCCACGATGTGGCATTACCACTACATTGATTTCCATCTCGGAGATGAATTTGACTAGCGCTGCACCAGGTTTTGTATCGACTTGAACAAACGCCTCAGATTTTATCCCATACTTACTGGCTTCTTGTACAAGTTGTTGACAAAGAGATTTCGCACTACGCATATCACTGTCAGGGATGTAGAATGATGAACCAGCTGGCATCGACTCACATTCAACGGACAATGCAGATAGAGCTGATGGGAGGATAGGATCAATGACACGAACGAAGAGGAGTAGATCACCATCATGTTTCATGTTGTCGACATACCAGAGTAATGCGTGTTTCGATTCGATAGGTCCATCGACGGGAATCAAGATTCTTCTCAACGGTTTTTTCGTCTTTGATGAATTGTCTTTGGGCATTCTGCAAGGTGATTGATTTGTTATCTGAAGGAGGAGGAGAGGAAGTCTTGACGCTGTTTCTTTTTGAATATGTTTCTGCTGTCTGCGCATCTCTTTTATACTGTTCACTGCATGCAAACTGGTAGAATTCCATTGGACTAATTCATCTTGTATGCTCTGGTTGGAGAATCTGTCATTGGTGGTTCCTTGTTCTTTTTTACAGGAGGACAAGCTAACTTGAGTAATTAACCAACCATCAGATATTTGTTGTAGGAATACTATGATTGGAGAACTGATCTCTGAACAAGTTTCAATGTTCTAAGTAATAATTAAAATTTTTTATATTTCTGTGTTTGTGTGTATGTGATGGATTATTTGTGTGTATGGTGATTCCATCTCATCATATTTGTGACTCATTTCTAGATTCGTAAAACTAGCTGACTGGTGATAATTAATCAATTTTGCTTTAGATGATTGCGTAACAAGTGGTGCATTTGTTGGGTCACTTTGTCTACTCCACACAGCCTTACTCAAATATATTTTCAGCTGTGTTTTAATGTGCATATAACACGTTAGCGTGCGTCGGTGGTACAGCGGTAGAATGCTCGCCGACCACGCCCATGTGGCTCGGAGTTCGATCCCCTGCCGACGAACTTCTTCACCTCGTTAAACAAGTAATTAGACTGGTAAAGAGGGAAGGTTGAACATGAGGCTAGCAACTCCATCTCGTAAAAATAAACACCACTGCCAGTGAAACTTCAGGTTTGTAGCTTGAAGTCCTATGTTCCACTGGGAACGTAAAGGAACAAAAGATTCACGTTAGTAAAAGTTATTTTAATTTTATGCTGGAAATTTTGAATGCAGGAAACATTTAGAATTTTATGGCTTCCATCGTCTTCTTTCCACACTGACTGAATGCCAGTTAGTCAGGTTTCGTGGTGAGAACATTTAGAGACAGGATATCCGAGTTAATTTGATTTCATAGATACAAGATCCGTATTTGTGTCATCAACATCAGATAATCGCTTCTATGTGGTTCAGGGACTTGGAGTGCACATCACAGAAAGCATTTCCAACAGGCTACGTCTGGCTTTCATCCATTCCTCTTTTAATTGACTAGATACTGCAGACGGAATCCCCAGCCAGAAAGCGTGAGCAGTAAGGAATTTCGGCAACAAGCCAAACAAGACCCTGTCGGATGGAAAACACTCACAGATAATTAGAGATCGATTAGATATTAGACGCTGAGGATACCGTTGAGTAACAGTGCGTGTCAGGCCGACGAGTGGGAAACCACCATTTGAGAGTTCGAAGCTGCTATACCAGAGATACTACAATATCACTTCTGCACTATGGTAGACTATAAATCCATTGTTTGTAAAATATATTTTGCTAAAGTTCCAGAGTGATATGCAGTAATATTTACTGGTGACGACGTTTGAAGCACAATTTATTGCCACTCATAATCATATCAAAGTGCTTTAGGAGAGGTTGTGTGAGAGACAGATCGAAAGATTAACGGTAGTCGTCAAACTTGCTAAAAACGACTGTCGAAAACAGAGTGAAGTAACTATTTGCCGCTGAAGCACTTTGTTATACACAACTAATTTTGAAGACTTCAGGGATGTATTTTTTCTAAGACAATCTATCCAACGAATTTATTCGTGAGCTATAAAATCTTATATAGATATAGGGCTTTTAAGAAATTATATCAACTGAGGGAATTGAATTAAAGGTGTGCTTACATAAAATAATAATAGTATCAAGTGCAATTGAACTAAAATTTTGTGATTATAATCATGGCTAAATGTCAAGTAACAGAACAATTAATATCACATGTGTACTCCCGATGATGTGGAGGAGAAGTTAAATCTTCTAGGAAATATCTCTGATGGAAAATGGATCTCCACCACGTATTATAGACAAGAACATACAGTTAAAACCTATAGAATGTGACTAAACATCCATAACCAAGAAAATACTGTACATAGGCTTGGAATTAAAAGAAGAAGGAACTCATAGTCTGTGGAAAAGAAATTTCCGGCTGCATCGTTGAGAATAACGTTATTCGGTCGACCATTACTCTTCAGTAACCTGAAGGATAAGATCCTGAAGTTGACCAACTCTGTGTGCGATTATCAGTTCACCTGCTCATGTAGAGCTAGTTATATCAGTCATCCAACTAGGCATTTGTACAAGTTGATGCAAGGACACTATCCTGTATGGTTATGAAGGAGTGGAAAAGGATCTAGGAGAAGCTCAATCATTGAACATCTGGTCGATATTGCTCACTCTATCTCTACAGCCTCCACTTGTAAAATCAACTACAAGGTGAAAAATAACTTGCTCAGATAATTGAGTAACTGAATCATCTGTATTTCTGAATCTTTAGCAATCGAAATAGAAATTACAGATCTCTGTACACAGAAACCAACCCCTATCAATTTTCATCGTCTTAGTCTCTCTATGCTAAAGTATGGTAATCCCTAATTATATTTTTGCTTTACCAATTTTTCGTTTTAATAATTCATCTTGTATACTCTTCCTTTATTACATCAATTTTCACTATTACTATTCTCATCCTGAACTGTTCTCGGTATTATTTCACTTGTTCCACTTGTCATTCCAAATCAAGTCAGTTTTGCAATTCTATTTTACCAAATTTCGTACAACACTCATGCAAAATTTTTATTTTTTTATTCTATTCGCCCAATAATCCTATAATTTCACATCCCGTCCAAGTTCTACACATCCTAAGAATTGTTCTACATATGCATCAATTGTTTTTCCACTTGATATTTGACTATGATTATAAGTACAAATATTTTAACTGCGCTTCATGATATCATTATTTGATGTAGTCACACCTTTGATTCAATTCCCTCAGTTGATACACCATATATATATATATATATATATATATATATGTATAATCGCAAAAGAGATTCTCTTCGCTGAATCACATGTATTGATTATCTATATGTCCCAACTGGAATATTCACAAATATCTTTTATCACATTGGAAGTCTCACATAATAAATTTAGTGAGTGCTAGCCGTGTTGAGATATGATTGGTTTCAAGGAAGACTGAAGTGAATCTTCATAAACCCAAAACTCAACAAAAATTATCCACTTCTGCCGAATTACCCCGTTGATAATGTGATGGAATCTGTTGAGTTTCAGTGATAAATTTCAGTCAGTCAGGTCCACCAAGTCGGTATGTGATAAAAGACACACTTCTTATGAACATGTTTGTCTATTGCACCACATTAGTACATACTGAATGCCAGGATTCGTCGATCATTGAGGTCTGATCAAGTGGATCAACTTTAGGGCGTTCACCTCATGGATGTGTGTTTCTCCGAAGTGTGAAAAACTACAAATAAAGAGCTATCGATTGGTTTTATAGTAAATGACAAAATCCACGCAGTAATTCAGCTAGAATCTACTTCGGAATAATTGAATTAAATTATACAACGAAATACGGAGTAATTCTACATTCATTTCTGTTGTATTATTTATCAGTTGACTCATAATCGCCTCAGCTACGACCTTGAATTTCTTCACTCACACAAATACACACACCCACTCACCTAAATGTAGCGCCATTTCAAATGACCATGCACTCTCACTATTAGTAAAACTACAATTATTATTATTCTGATTATTCAGGTCAAATAGTTGTAAATATTTCTTCTTTAATGTACTCACATACAACACTCTCTATTATCTACTTGTTCAAAGTATTGTTTACAATACATAGAAGACGAATGAAATTGTGTACAATGTAGTACATATTGGTACTATTGAATTTCTTGGTTATTTGATCAGGCGGGAAATATCATGTATTTAGTTAAACTGACCTTATAGTTAGTGCATTACCCCAATAGCCTTGAGCACTTCCGAATAAAGACTCCTCTCAATCACAGCCATCTTTCACGAAAAATGAAAACAGCGACGGAAAAGAGTAATCGTCATAAGCACAGCTGGTAGTATTAAATCTTACATGACTGAGTGAAGTTAAATGAGGGTGTTGGGATTAGGTGGTTGACTAAGGGATTTAATGGATGAGTTGTCATCAATAGGCATATAGGAACGACGAATGGAGGAGTTGGAAAAATATAAAAACAAACGACTAGTCGGTGTGACAAAAGCAAGTTGTCAAATGTCCAGGTGTAGAAGGATACCGAACGTAGTGCCGATTCTAGTAAACTAATCGGTGTCTCAGAAAGATTTGTTCGGTAACCGATGGAGTGATATCTGAAGACGGATCGGCAATTTTAGGATCGTTTATTTCCTCACCGATAATGAGTCATAACAACTGGGTCACAACGCACAAAGTCTATGAATAAACATCAACATAAATCACAAACTTCTACTCCTGATCTTTATTCTGCAGGCACTGTTTCTTGTCGCCAAATGGTGATCAGTGCAAGTAAATCAGGCATTTTCTGTTCATCCGATATTGACCAACATTAACACTCACCAGCAAAATGGGTGTTAGTCCGTCTATTCCACGTCAACTTTACCATCGATGAGAGAATCTGGGCCATCAGGTATGTGGCTGAAATGGGAAGCAAAACACAACCGAACAACACACAAAATGGGCAACCTCACAGCACACAGGTGCGCACTCCCACTAATTGACTATGACCTGAACAATCCTCCTCACACTGAAACGACTTCCAAATATCGATTTTTATCGACACCTCTCTACACGAAATCCACCTATTATATCGAACGTTGCAGAAACGAGTATGACCACACTAATACGACATGATATTCCCTGCACAATATTTCGACTGCCCACCACTAGTTGTATTGTCATTCCTTGTCACTGATGCTGCCTTAGCCATGCCAACTGTGACTTATGCAAGCTTCAGGTGCCAACTCTCCACTTTCCAGGTGTATGAAACCTCAAGCCGAGGTCGAAATACTTTTCTCCATCAGTCGTCAGTACCACTGTCCACATGAACAATGGATACTTCTCCGCCTGCATTGACCAACTTTCACTTCAAGTCTCCCTAATACAGCGAATCTCGTTCGATGAATCAATATCACTTAATCCCTTCATAA